GAAAGATGTCCCTGTCAAAGTAGTATTGAGCTCACTGGTATTTTCCGTTACTACTTTAACGATCGGGTTAAATATAAAATAAACCCTTGTACTATTTTCGTTTTCATTTAACTCCCCGTATTATTTTTTTTAATCTAATTGAACCCCTTTGTACGTTTAAAAAATGTTTAAATGAACCATTCTCTTTTAACAACGATCAAAGTGTCCATTAAGAGTGTACCAAATGTTAAATAATATATAATCTGAAGAAAAAATTTAATCTCATGTGGTATCCACATAAATCTTACTTAATTTAAATATAGTTTAAATTATTAAAATTTATATTTATATTTATATTATATTATTTATTTAAAATATTCAATTTTAAATTAAAAATTTAAGAATAATAATGATTAAATATTCTTTATCGTCTTTTTTTATCAATTCTTTTAATGCTTTTATTGCTTAAATGTACATTACGAGAAATAAATAAATAAATAATGTGAGAATTCGGATTGGGATAAAAAATAGATAACATGAATTGTCACAATTGAAGTTCTCACATGATTTTTTTTAGTAATTTTTTATAACGTACACATAAATAGTAAATATATTGTGCGCTTTAAGTGAATAAAAAAGTAAGGTATCTTTTTAAATTTAGATTTAAATTAAATATTTTGAATTAAATATGAATATAAATTTTATTAATCACTTAAATTCATATGTTAAGATGACATTCATGTAAATAATATAGATGACATTCATGTAAATAATATATATATATATTTTTTATTTAAATGATATTTTATTTAACAGATGATACATTTTTAACAGAAATTTACAAGTAATTAATAAAAAAAATTTATTTAAATATTTTTAAATGAATAAAAACTTAAATGCAAAAGAAAAAAAAATATGACGGGGGAAAAATAAGAAGATAAACAGTAAAAGGGTTTATTTTCTATTTAAGCCTGTAATTGTCACTTCCTTTATAGACAAGTTTATGCACCACTCGATCGGACGGTCAACACTGATCACACTCCACTTCTATGAATTCTCACCGTTAGATCCTCGTTTTCAATATATACCGTCAGATCAAAGAGCCACGCGAATCTTACCGTCCAATATATCCAAAAATTGAAATTTCAAAACATGTTAGAGAGAGGGAGGAGAGACGAAGAAGAAGAAGAAGAAGAACAAACAAACCCCCTCTTTTGCTCCCTTTTTAACATTTTGCTTCTCTCTCTCTCTCTCTCTGGCGGTATCACTACACAAAAACCCTACGCTTTCTTCTTCGCAGGCTCTCTCTCCATGCGCATAGATCAAAAATCACTCTTGAGATTTTCTCTTTGTCACACTCCTCTTTTTTTTTCGGTTTTTAAATCTTGGGCTGTGCAATAACGTATTATCCTATAATTTGATATCTGCCCGATGTTGGATTGTTATTGGATCCGAAATTTCTTGAATTCGAGCTGATGTTGGAGAATTTTTGCGATTAGCAGAGAATAATTAGTGGATTGAGGTTTATATTTAAGTGGAAGAAGAAAAGAAGAATTTTTGTATATTCTTATTGTCAAAATTTTGGGAGTTTGAATTGGATGGGGGAAGGTGGTGAAGGAGGGGAATTCCCGCCAAAAAAGGCTCAATCGGACTCGGCTGATTTACCGGCAAAGAAGCTCGCTCGGCAGCTGGACTTCACCGGCAGCTTAGGCGGGGTCTCGGGGAGTGTGGCTCTTCCGGAGCACCCGCAATCTAAGGTGACAGCAGTGGCAGCAGCAGCAGCCAACACTGCAACAACGACAACGCAGCAGGCGGCCGTGCTAAGCCAGCCGAAGCCAAAGCCACAGATGGTGGTGATGCCCGCGGCGCCGTCGATGCAGGGGTCTCATGCCTCAGTGAGAGCTGTGTAAGTCTGTTAAAATCTCTTGCTTTTCTGGTTGCTTCTTGTGTTTGAGAATTGATTACTGTTTTGAGGGTTGGTTTTGGGGAAAAAAAAAAACCCAAACCACACCACCTCTATTAATGTGGTATGGCCTTTTAAAGTTGGGTGCGCAAGAAAACATATAAATAAATAAATTGCGTGTTTACGGTGGTGGGGAAATCTATAACATC